GGTGACGGGGCGGGGTTGTGGGTGACGGGAAGCGCGGGGGGTGGGGGCACTGGGGACCTTGGGGGGATGGTGGTCGGGGCCAGGGCCGGCTGCCGGGGTGACTGGTGTGGGCACTGGGTGTCGTCACTGTCGTGGTTGTGGGAACTTGTGGCCCGTTGTGGGGGCCGACGGTGAGGGGCCCTCTCCCGGGAGGTGGGAAGGGGGGTGCGGGTTGCGGGTCAGGGACTCGGGGACATAAGCCAAGTGGCCCGGATAGTCGGGATAAAGCCCATGCGGGGTAACGGCACCATGGGTGGGTGTCACCTGGTGAAGTGGAGGCACTGCAGTCAGCAGCCCCTGTAGGGCCTTGGCCCCTGGCCCCTTGCCCCTGGGGGGCGGGGGTCCTTGGGGTATTGCGGTCTGCACAACTCTGTAGGCTCTGCATGCTCTGTAGCCTGCAAGGCCTTGGCCCCTAGGGACAGGGCCCAGAGCCTTAGTGGCTCATCTGAGTAACCAGTGCAATAACTTTCTAATAACTTAATAAGCACTGAAGACCGCCGTTGTTGGCGACGCCACTTCTCGTTGCCCGACTAGGGTAGTAGTAGGCTAGTAGCGTTGTTATGCCATGCTACGGAGCGGTTGGTGAACTTGGTGTTGCCGCTGCTGCGGTTGTTGCCTAACTTGCCTCTGGTGTTGGGGGCATGGGGGTAGTTGGTGTTGTGGGGCTCGGGGGACTGCAACCTATGTACACCGTACATTTAGGCCTTTTTTTTTTCGTGCTCAGCATAATGGACTACTAAAGTCAACTAAACATTGCACTGCATCCACCGCTGATTAAAAAAAAAAAAAAAAAATAGATAACAGTAAACATTGCACAGATGTAAAAAAAAATAAAAAATTACTCGCAAGACATAAGTTGAAAACATTTGTGCGACTGTATGCAGAACTGTTGTGAACTTGGTTGTTTGTCGATTTTCAAATTTTCACCAACACTCACACGCAGACAATCTCACGCACGCCCATACATCCATAAGAACTTAAGAAGAAGGGGAGAGGAGGCGAAGTACACAATGCATACAAACAGAGTAAGCAGCGGAAACCACTATGCACATGTGTGGAGATAACATTGGGTGTTTCTCAATCTTTGACAATACTCCCAAGAGTCCCAAGAGTCCCAAGAGTCCCAACAACCAATCACAAGAAGATACCTGCGAGGGTAACAAAAGAACAGTACAAGATTGAGCCGATGTGAACCAATATCGCTATGGCCTCTGCCTGCCCGGCTATAGGCTCTCATGCTACGGGCCTAGGCCACAGGGTTGTGGCCTAGGCCCGTCCTAGTGATAGCCTGGGCCTGCCATTCGAACAACGCAGGTCCCCCGTCTCTCTCTCTCTCTCTCTCTCTCTCTCTCTCTCTCTCTCTCTCTCTCTCTCTCTCTCTCTCTCTCTCT